AGCTTGGGAAGCAAAGAATTTGTATTTTTGTTCTTTCCCGTACAAATTGCGACATCGGATGTACCGACCTTTTCAGCAAGGGCAATTCAGGCAAGGAATGTGAAAAAAATGGAAAACCAGCTCAGCACCATTTGCATGGAAAGAAGGCAGTGCGTCTAATTATTAAGAGGCTCTAGATTTGTTCAGCCGACATGGAAGCTGCATTCTAAAGTGTGTGCGCGCATTCCTGATCCTGTAATTTTTATTAAGCAGGAAAATCAGAAACATCTGAGTAGTCAACTAAATAATTGTGCAAGCAGAATGACTTGCCCTTGTGCAATGGGACCTCACTGCTCTTCTCCTCCCCACACCTAAATCTATTCTAACATCTGGCTTGTGAGCCGTGAGGTGGGGAGTCCCAGTGCACAAGTGGAAGTCATTCTGCTTGCACAATCATTTAGTTGAATAAAGCCCAAAGTTTGCTTTATTTGCACACTGTTATGATGTGAATTGTTGAGATAAGAATGGGAGCCAGGAGCTTTTGAGTCTGGCCTATAGAAATGATATACCCAACCGTAGAGAGACGCATGTTTGGACCAGCCCTAAGAACACCATTTAAGAGTGCCCTGAGGAATCCAACCAAGAGTCCATTTAGTCTAGTATACCATGGACAAACAAAAGGGACGCGGGTGGCGCTGTGGGTAAAACCTCAGCGCCTAGGACTTGCCGATCGCATGGTCGGCGGTTCGAATCCCCGCGGCGGGGTGTGCTCCCGTTGCTCGGTCCCAGCACCTGCCAACCTAGCAGTTCGAAAGCACCCCCGGGTGCAAGTAGATAAATAGGGACCGCTTACCAGCGGGAAGGTAAACAGAGTTCCGTGTGCTGCGCTGGCTCGCCAGATGCAGCTTGTCATGCTGGCCACGTGACCCGGAAGTGTCTGCGGACAGCGCTGGCTCCCGACCTATAGAGTGAGATGAGCGCACAACCCTAGAGTCTGGCAAGACTGGCCCGTACGGGCAGGGGTACCTTTACCTTTACCTTTACCATGGACAAACAGGTGCTTCTAGAAAGCTTTGAAGCTTATCACAGAGGCCAAAGCCTTCCTGTTTGGGTCTCCTTAGTTATAATGGCTATCCCTCATGAATCTAACTCCCTTTGAAGCCACCCAAGCCAATGGCCAGCATCACCACACACAGGGACAGTGATCTGCACACCTTTAGTACGCATTGTGTGAAGTATTTTCTTGTGTCCAGATTCTACTGCCAATCAATTTCACTGCTGCTGCACATCAAATTGCCATTGAGCTGTCAACTTCAACCCCCAGATCCGTTTGCTGAATAGTTTCAGGTCCCTCCAGGCTAATGCCTCTCCACTGCATCGTCACAGATCTACAGCAGGCATTGGGAACCTGTGTGCTCCAGATGTTCACAGAATCAGAGTTGGAAGAGTCATCTAGTCCAACCCCCTGCAATGCAGGGCTTCAGCTCCCACCTGCTCCATCCAGCATAGCTAATGTTCCAGGATGATGGAAGTTGTAGTAGTCCAACAACATCTGGAGGGCCACACATTCCCCTCTGTGGATCTACAGGCTATCCTGGTGAGCCTTCCCTTAAACAGGCTGTAGGTAGAATTACAGTGGTACCTCGGGTTACAGATGCTTCAGGTTACAGACTCCGCTAACCCAGAAATAGTACCTCGGGTTAAGAACTTTGCTTCAGGATGAGAACAGAAATTGCGTGGCGGCGGCGTGGCAGCAGCGGGAGGCCCCATTAGCTAAAGTGGTACCTCAGGTTAAGAACAGTTTCAGGTTAAGAACGGACCTCCAGAACGAATTAAGTTCTTAACCCAAGGTACCACTGTACTGCCCATCCTTACAGACACCCCCTGCAACCTACTAACTCTTCTTAACTAACTACTCACCAGGAGTAATAGACCACACAGGGGAGGATACAAGCCGAGGAACTTTCTCCTGCAACACCCCCCGGTGCCAGTTCTGCCCCCATAGCTAGTAAGAAAAAAAACTGCAACAGAACCTAATGGCATCAGCCTAACATCAAGGACTTATCCCACTGCAGAATGAACATAATAAATGGATATTAGAAATGATAACCGGTGAGGGGACATTTCAGTCTCTCAATACATTCTGGCCATGTTCATACTCCCCCCCCTCAAAAAAGAAGGGGGCACCAAAAGGAGACCCCAGTGGGAAACTGTTAAATTGGAATAATTTGCAGAATTTGGCATTGTTGGGTTTAGTATCGGCTGGGAGTGCCTAGCTCACTGCAAAAATGCATTCATTATGTACGCTGTTCATCTTGGTTTGCCAATTCATTAACAGTTGGGAAAAGCCAACACCCAGTTGGATGAAAAGATTGACTCCTTTTGTTATGCGACTGAATCTAATTTTCATGTGGGCTCTGCATGTGACACACATCTCGCCTGCATGGCTGGCTCTTCCGGCTTTACTTTACAATAACAATTCTTCTCACAGCCCAGCCATATATGTGTGAGTGCATTTACGTGGGGGGGGGGGGTGAGGAGAGGATAATGTTTCAAGTATTAGTTATACTGCTGAAGCTATCTGCTGCTATTATTGGGGTTGCTTTGTGAATTGCATGCGGTTTGTGTAAATGTGTTCTTAATATACAGTACTGAATAATATCCAACCCTGCCGTTCTGCCTGCGCAACAGAACTTCCCTTTCCTCTTCTTCCCCCACCCACGAAGCCCTCCCTGCACCCTCAAAATAGTCACAGATGGTTAAGTGACCCTCTGGATCAGAATTTGAGGAAGGGAAGCCCCTTGCACCATTGTAGCTTTGTCTATGCTTATGTTCTTAGATATATAGTACGTCAATGGAAGACCTTTCTGTGTAAGAAGTAACTAAGAAGTTCAAATAAAATCATCATCTGATGAAGCAGAGTTTGGCCCATAAAGGCTTGTGCCAAAATTAGTATGCCACTAAACTCTTGCTGTTATTGTTTGAGGTTGATGTGAGATCTCTTTTGCATTAGATCCGATTCATACATACAAGTTATAACTGATGCAGATAAAAATTAGCCTGTGTGCAACCCAGAACTTGGTTAAGTCCACCCAATCTACTATATATGTGTATTAGAGGAATATCTGTCAAATATGAGATAGGGGCGCCAACATTTCCCTGTCTTTTGGCAGATTTGAGACTCACAGGTAACATTACTCAGGTAAATTTGCCCAGCACAGAGACCTTCCGTGTCCCCTGCAAATGTTGCTGTACCCCTAAGTGTACATATCCCTCCACCAGCATGGGATGGTGGGAACTGTAGTCCAGTAACATGTAGGGAGCCATGGGATCCTCATCTCTGATACAGAGGCAGTGTTGGAAAACTTTCCCTGGTGAATATTAGTTTTGCATGCAGTTGTTAAAGGCTGTCTTTTCTGTGAACCGCTCTGAGACTTCCGAGTACAGGGCAGTATACTACTACTACAACTACTACTACTAATAATGTAGCCTGCCAAGAAAGAAACTGTATACCTGAAGGAGCGTCTCCACCCCCATCGTTCAGCCCAGACACTGAGATCCAGCGCCAAGGGCCTTCTGATGGTTCTCTCCATGCTAGAAGTGAGGTTACAGGCAGAGGGACTTCTTGGTAGTGGCGCCCGCCCTGTGGAACACCCTTCAGATGTGAAGGAAATAAGCACCTATCCTATCTTTACAAGACATCTGAAGGCAGCCCTGTTTAGGGAAGTTTTTAGGGAAGAGTGGCTGGGGAAACTCAGCCAGATGGGCAGGGTATAAATAATAAATTATTATTATTATTATTATTATTATTATTATTATTAAACTGGTAGTTCTGTTTGCTCAGACCACAGAAAGCGCAAAGTCACATAGACAAAACCCTGGTATGCCCACAACAAAATGCAAGGTATACTTTACTGAGAATGGAAACTTATTCAGTTCAGTGGAGTTTACTTCCAAACAAGTGTGCACCGGATTGTTGCCTTAGTGACAGTGGGTGGAAATAAGTAGTGGGGGAAACTCCACTTCATACAATTTCTGTACCAAGCTACTATTAGAGGAGCAGAATCAGGAATAAGTGGTAGCAACTTTACCAAAAATGCTAGATTCCTCCCAAGAACTGTCCTCTGCGGTTCCTGTTCTGCTTCCGATGCTTGCAGGAAGGAAGCCCTGGTTACTGGACAGTGAATCCAGAGGTCCCGGCTGTTAGCAATGAGCAGCAGCTGGAAAGTGGGGGCAAGAATGGTGGAAGAGTACCTAAAACGTTGTCTCGCTCATCATCTCCTACCACTGAAAGCGCCAGCTCCTCAAAGTGGCCCAAACAAATGCTGTACATTTTAATGAAATGCCTTTAATCGTGCTAAATATCTAGAGGTAGATCTCCCAGCAGTCATCAGAATACTGGCTCCAATTTGCTGTTCCCTTGGGTTGTCCCCCCACCCGCACCTGTCAGGTTCAGTAATTGGCTTTAATTAAAAACACAACAGCAGAATTAAACTGACCATGCAAGGCTATGTATGGAAAGTGCAACTCATCCTAGGAAGGGAAATGCATAACACGGGGCTGGACCAGGAAGCTGCAAACATCACCCCTCCTCGTCTCTCCACTACACACAATGCTTAAAGATAATCAATAAGCTCCTCTGGAAGGTGAAAAGCAGGTCGTCAATACAATCTATCCATTCAACTGCGCAGTCACGCCCTCCATAGTCTCCGCCGCTACCCGTTCCTACTAGGTAAATAAGTTATGGGACGCGGGTGGCGATGTGGGTTAAACCACAGAGCCTAGGACTTGCCGATCAGAAGGTCGGCGGTTCGAATCCCCGTGATGGGGTGAGCTCCCATTGCTCGGTCCCAGCTCCTGCCAACCTAGCAGTTTGAAAGCATGTCAAAGTGCAAGTAGATAAATAGGTACCGCTCTGGCAGGAAGGTAAATGGCGTTTCCGTGCGCTGCTCTGGTTTGCCAGAAGCGGCTTAGTCATGCTGGCCACATGACCCGGAAGTTGTACGCCGGCTCCCTCGGCCAATAAGGCGAGATGAGCGCCGCAACCCCAGAGTCGGCCGCAACTGGACCTAATGGTCAGGGGTCCCTTTCCCTTTAGACAAATAATAAGTTGCAGAAGAAGGTAAGGCTCCCCCTCCTTCCCGTTTTGTGGGCTGAATTGTGAGCAAGTGGAGAAATCCTATAAGTTTCCGCTTGGTTCAAGGCACCACGAGCCGCCCCCGTGAGAATATCTGCTCCTTTTTTTAGTTTCTGCAGGGGCGTTTCAAGAAGCGGCGGCCCTCCTTGCGCGCAAGCGTGCGCAGACGGCCTGCCAACCACGCTTTCTCCGGCCTTAAAACTGCGCAGCCGCGGGTCTTTCCGGCCCGCAGACGGCTCCCGATCGGCCTCCTGCCGTGGAGAACGCGGGGGAGGAACGGGGCTGTTCACCAACCTTCCTCTGGAGCGAGCGAGCGGGTGGCGGAGAGGAGAGCTTGAGGCCACGTCCCCTGCGCAGCAGCAGCAGCAGCAGCAGCAGCGTTTGGCTGAATGAACCGGAGAGGCGCTTTCCTCCCTGCCTGAGCTGGCCGCCTGGCAGGAGCATTTGCCTCTCCAGCGGGTACAGACGTCAGCCTCGCGCGCTGCCTGTGCGCTTTGGAGAGGCTCTTCGGTCACAGCCCGGCGAGGAGGGCCAGAGAGCCCCTCGCCTCGGTGGGGTGTTGCCAGGAGAAAACAAACCAAGCTCTCTCTTTTTAATGATTCCAGCACCAAAGGCATCAAGACCAGGCCTGTGCAAAGCTTGTGCGAAGCCCCGAGCGGGAGTCTTGGGAGAAGGAAGTTATAAACTAAAAAAAAAAGGAGCTGGCAAGGTTACATAAGACGGCAAAGTAGCTGGGATAAACCAGTTCATTGCAACATCTCCCATGAGGTGTGTTTTGCAAAGCTACTACAGTGGTACCTCAGGTTACAGATGCTTTGGGTTACAGACGCTTCAGGTTACAGACTCCGCTAACCCAGAAATAGTACCTCGGGTTAAGAACTTTGCTTCAGGATGAGAACAGAAATCGCGTGGCGGCAGCGGGAGGCCCCATTAGCTAAAGTGGTACCTCAGGTTAAGAACAGTTTCAGGTTAAGAACGCACCTCCAGAATGAATTAAGTTCTTAACCCGAGGTAGCTTTGGTCACACCGGCCGACTAGTCATCCAAGAAAAGGTTGAATCGCTTAGGACTAGAAATAGAAGCAGGTAAGGAACGACATGTGGGCTGATGTAGGTACATTTGGCATTCAGTGGCCATCTCCCGCTCATCCTTGCACCAAGTCCTGCTGATGCAACACTGGCACCAGACATGTGGCTCTGACAGACTTGCAGACTATGAGATGTGCCACTGCGGTGGTTGCATGTAATCTGATCTGAAGCTACATGTAGGCATAGGGGTAGCCGGGGGGGGGGAAGCTGCCCCCTAAATCAAGTAAATGAATAAAAATAATTAACTGAGGTTCTGCCCCCCCTAACAAGGAGATTCACCCACCCCGCCCCCCAATATGAAGCCTGCCCTCCCAACATCATTTTGGGCTCTTGGGCTTTGGGACTTCCCCATGGCATCTGGTTGGCCACTCTGAACAGGTGCAAGGCTAGATGGGACATTTGCCTGTTCCAGCAGGATCCTCTTTTGTTCAAGCCTGAGTTCCTATTATTCACAGTTTATAAAGATGTCACAGAACATCTATCCGTAAGGCGATAAAGTACAGAGATGATTGAATGACTCACTGTCACTCACAAAACACATTCTCAGTTCTTAGTGACTATAATATGTTCACATCTATTCGCTTCTGTTTCTTCCCCTTTGGGTCTGGTGACAGAGGTTTCATTTGCAGTAGTAATAGAAAAAACTGTCCTCGTGTTGGTTTCATTGAGGGGCCCCAGAAAACATATCCGTCATCTCTTTCCTCCACCTCACACTTTTTCCTTGCACTCTCCTTTGGTACCCTTGATTTTACTTCCCTGTTTGTCTCATTAAGAGGAGAGTCATAATCTGGCCATCTGCCATTTTTTTTGTTGTATTTCTTTTTGTTTACAAACTTCTCTCTTTTCTTTTGAATGGTGGAAAACATAACTAAATTTGATGGTCGCAGAGACAGTGTTACATTCAGCTCTTTAAAACAATCTAGCTCACTGATGATCATTTTTGTTTTTTGTTTTCAGAGCATCACACAAACGGTTTGTTTCAGTGAACCTCACCTCTCTTTCCCTAGTCAACTGCCAGGCAGAGACTCCTTGTGTGGCTTTGCCAAATGATATATGCTACAAACCTACAAGCTTTCAGACGTAGGTATGTTGATATTGGGCAAGCTTAAAACTAAAAAAGAATTATGTGCGCACATATAAAGTCACAAAGGAGGTTAGGATTTTGCTTCCATGCAGCATCTGCTTAGCTGTGAAAAGGGGACATTGCAAATGCTTTGCCTAGATTTCTTCCCCACCCCCCTAGATTTCTTCCAGTAAAGTCATCAAAGAATGTAGTTATACCTGTCTTGGAATACAAACTTGCCCTATTTGTAATACTCAGCAGCCTCACCAACTGAGGAGCATTTCCTACAAAGAAGTTATTCATCTTAGATCGTACACTGAATGCCTCCCCCTTCCCCTAGTCCATTAAATGTCGGGTCACCGGGGAAAGCAAATTTTCTAGGACACCTTTGTCCTTAGTTTGGATGCCAGGTACCCTGGGAAATGATGTTTCCCAGAATTCTTGGCATATGAGACAGAGCATCAAAGCACTAGGAAGGGGAGTTTAGGCCTCCGTTGAGACTTCAGTTGCTGCTGCTGCTTCTACTGCTATCACAAAGTGCAGAAAGCCAGAGAACAGCGGCTCACAGCAGAGTTGAGGGAAGCAATTGTACCTTACTGAGCATTGGGGAAAGTCAGCAATATTCGAATTTGGGGATTAGTTTCAGGGGTGGCCATTTTGTCATCTTTAAAGAAAACCTCTCAATTTGCTGGTCCCAATTCCAAATCAAGCTGATGGATTTTCTTCTGTACTTAACAATGGGCAGAAAGACTGGATTCAGCTTGTAATGGCTTTTGTAACAGTGTATTTCCCTTCCACATTTCACCCTTGAGGGGGAGGTGAATGGGAATTTCCTTCCCTTAATGTATCGGACAGGTCAGAAGCAATAAAGTTCTGGGCACCTCATGATGTCCACTTTTGTTATTTGTTTATTTAGCTGGCGGTACTCCAGACAGCTGAGTCCCTTCCCAAGACACCTGGATTCTGGAAATGGTATCATATACATGTTTTGTAGTGTTTAACTCGTTAGGCTTGGGGCCTGCTGGCACTCAAAACAGAAATAATTAACCTAAAATACTAAATCTCTGGCATAATAATTTGCTAGTAAATCATTTACTACTTGGGGGATTAGTACATGGAGCAGAGAAAAGAAAAAGGAACCAAAAAGGATGTTGGAATATACAGAAAGCTGCCAGGTTCAATATCTGCAGATAAGCTTAAAAAATACAATACCCAAATATGACCCCCTTCAGAAATTTTGGATTTCCATCAGCACCACTGCTGTAGTCCCAAACATCTGGAGGGCACCAAGTTGGAGTCACTTGAATTAATGTCGGACTGGAAGGTTCACAGCAGCACCATTTAGAACTTGTTTTGGGTTGCATTTTATGCAGGCAAATTTTCCTACTCTGCCGCCACCATTCCTTTGCATTTCTGTGTCATTTCTTCCGCAGTGCCACATTTTCCCACGAGTGAAAGAAAAGAAAGCTTCTGCTTAGGAAAGGCTCCTAAAACTCAGTCCTCATGAACTGCTCCACCCAGATTTAGACTTTAACTGATACATATTTATCCTAAAAAGCTTAATGAAATTACCAGAAGACTTCCTTGGTATGTCTGTCAGTGACATTAAGACGCACTCACCCGTCTTCCTTCCCAGATGTTGGTCTCTTGTGTGTTTTTCATACACCAGCAGGTGTATTGCGATACAGTCAGCCCCATAATAAATTCAGTGAACCATTCAGATTAAGGTTCCCTCTGATTCAGTGACTCAACCTTTGCAGTTTCAGTGTAGGAAAATGGGAAGTATTAAGAAAATGTGCTGACATTGCACTTCAGTTTCTGAAAAGTGCCACGGTGCAGTTCCTAGTCACTAAAGCAGGTGTAAGCACTCTTACATCACTTTAGCAGCCATGGCTTCCCCCAAAGAATCATGGGAACTGTAGTCACCAGGATTCTTTTAAGGGAAATGGCAGTTGATAAAGTAGTATGTGTCACCTAGAAGTTGGACTACAACTCTAATCATCCCTGATCTTTGGCCATGTTGGCTGGGGCTGATGGGAATTGGAGTCCAACCACATCCAGAAAAGCCACAGACCATAACAGTATCTCAGCAGCTTTGGTGATTCACATTTCTTAAAGCACAATTTTCCTGAACCCCTGGCCTACCTGGCAGTAAGTCAGGATGCCAAGTCCAAAATTTGAGGTCAGTCCACAGAAGTGAAGTCCAAAGGTTCAGGGTAAATTCAAGTCTGAGTCCAGCAATCAGGATGCAGTCCAGAATCAAACCTGTGGTGCACAGTCCTGTGGTGGTCCAGGAGCACCCAACTCATGGTGCACCAATATGGGCAGTTGAGCAGACACAACACCTCAGCTCTGCTTCCCTTTTATACTTTGCATGCTGATTGCAGCATCTGGGCTTGATGAGGCATGTGGCCTTCACATCTTCTAAGCCTACTCCAGCTGAGGAATCACACACCTCCTTCCAGAGCTAGCGAGCCCCACCTGGCCAGCTAGAGAGCTGGGCTTTGGGCCCTTGCCTGCCTCAGCTTCCTGGAGCATCCCACCTGCTGCTCCCTAGGCCTCAGAACCCGCCTTGTGGGCCCCTCTGGCTCTGGTGATGGTTCTTGCTGCTCTGGTTTCTGTGTGCTGACCCCCATCATCCTCTATCACCCTGTGAGTACTTCATAGACCAACCTCTCCTTCCCCATCCCTTGCTTGTCCCAGTGTGTCCCAGTCCTGGCTACACCCCTCACTGGGATCCTCTGCTTCCTCCCCGTTCTCCTGCCAGTTCATGACAGCAATTGTATTTCAATGTCTGTTGTTTGCATTTAGAACATCATAATCTTCCACTCCTTTGTCCTGTCAATGCCTCTGTGAAGTAGGTTAATATTATTCCTGCTTTACAAACTGGAAACAGAGACACTGTTAAACTAGTAATGGTTTTTCTATGAGTTCTGAACTAAGTGGCTATTTTTATTTTTAAAATTATTTTTATCTAGCTTTATCTAGCTTTCCAGTTGTGCTGACCATTGCTTCTCACTCAAATGGAAGGTGCAACAAATCTTCCATTAAGGAAACTCACACCATTCCTTTGTGCAAGCTCTTAATTTCACAGGTTTGTTCCTGTGTACAAAATTACCTGCCCTGGAAAGAATAGAAGGGAGTTTAAATGTTTCGAGTCACTGGATGTCCAGATAAAACAGGGGATTCATCTCAGTGTCTCTAGTGAGCCTGCATAGCAGATGAGATCGTTCATCTCCCCATGCAATGACTCTTCTGCCTACCGTATCAGCAATTTTTTAAAAATGCAGCAACAAGGTAGGGCTTTATGTTGCATCAGTGAAATCCTATTGTCTTGGGTGCTGTTATTCGGAGGCGGGAGTAGCTGCTTTTTCTCCAAATTCTTTGCATTGTTCATTTCACTTTCTATCAATTAAATATGAAAACCTCCACAGAGGCAGGAAGGAAGAGGAACTTAAGACATATGAGATAGCTTAAGCGATGTGATGTTTGCTGGGTTTTAGGGGCAAGGGAGCGATGAGGGAGAATCACCAGATGTTCAGATATCACAGTGATAGGTTTCAGGAATAAATTCTACAGCTGCGGACCAGCTGCCAAGAACAATCTATGCCACACAGTTGTGCTATTCTCTCTTGTACTTGACAGTTCCATGGTTCTTTAGAGCATTGAAGCTGTAACATGCTATGAACATTTGAGAAGGCATTTGTGTCAGGAAAGCCCAAGCCGCCGTTCAGAATTCCAGTTGGGAACGCGCCCGTGCTGCAAGTAGTGGAGCAGTGTGCAGTCAACAGCCTCAACTAATGAGTCCTTTGGCCGGTGATGGTTCTCCAAGAAAAAGGTGATAGAAGAACAGTTTTGTTAAAAATGCAGAAGATAAACACATTCAGGGCTAGATATTCTTTTAGACAATGCAGTTGGACCAGTGTTAGAGTGGTAAATTTTGAAGCGCATCTTGACAGCCCCATAGCCACAACTCCCAAGGAGAGTGCAAAAATACAAGGAGCCCTGTTGATCCATTTTGTGTAAGGATCAAATGACAGCCATGGATTAGTAAACTACTCTTTCTCTATGCTAATGAGAATGTTAGAAGAGCCTGTGGATCAGTCCAGTGACCCATTTAGTCCAGCATCCTGTTCTCACAGGGGCCAATCAGATGCCTACGGAAAGTCCACAAGCAGGACACGAGCCCAGCAGCGCTCTTCCCCCCTGTGATTCACTGTAAGTGATATTCAGAGGCATACAGTCTCTTGATGCTGGAATCAAAACATTGCCATTGTAACTAGCAGACACCGATGGTTTTATCCTCCTTAGATTTGTCTAATCCTCTTTTAAAACCATGCAAGTTGGTGGCCAAGTCGATGTCCCAAATATTTTGAGAGAAGGAGAAGAACTTTCCTCTACACCAGTGTTTCCCAACCTTGGGCCTCCAGCTGTTTTTGGACTACAACTCCCATCATCCCTAGCTAGCAAGACCAGTGGTCAGGGATGATGGGAATTGTAGTTCAAAAACAGCTGGAGGCCCAAGGTTGGGAAACACTGCTCTACACCATGTATAGTGTATAACTTTAGACACCTTTGTCATGTCTCCTATTACTTGCCTTGTTTTCTAAACCAAGAGGTCCCAAATGTTGTAACCTTTCCTAATTTCTCCACCCCCTGGATCGTTTTGTTTGCAAAACAACAGTAAAACTTGAAAGCCTCATCCTCTCTTGCTGGAGCAAGGAGAGTCCATAACCTATCCTCTGCTTCCATCCTCTGCATCCACCATCTGGGGGACCAGATCAGGGCCAGACCAAAAGACTTTGGCATCTGAGGCAAACCACAATAAGGTTGTCCCCTCCCTGCCAAGCTAGAAGAGGGAGTAAAGATCTACATCAGGAACAAGGCGGGAATGAAGATTCATCAGAGGTTTTTGAGCAGAGGTTGAGTGGGCATCTGTCAAAGATACTTCAGCCATGGATACTACATGTGTAGGGAGAGAACTACCTACCAAAATTAAGAGAAGTGTGAGTTTCTAGGGTGTTTCATTTTGCATTTTGATTTGGCAGGCTTGCTGTTAAACGCAAACAAAATCCAAACTTAGGTTTTGTGCACCACCTCCTACTCGTGTTACCTCTGAACTCTCCTGCTGCAATAAATCAGCTAAATTCTGACGTGCAGCATCGCTTTATGCATTTTTGCAGCTCACAAGGCTACTCTTCAGGAATCTGATGTCATGGGAATCCTGTCACAGGATTCATTGTGGGAGCAAGTCTCTCATGAAGAGAAGATGTGTTGTGCAATGGCTTTACTCAGTAAAGGAAATCCGGGAAAGGATTTCCAGATTTTCTTCCTGGCAGCAGCAAATATCACAACTGCACAACTGGGACAAGAAAGCTACAACTGACCAATTTCCCAATAAACTGGGATGACCTTTTATAGTGGATAAAGCAAATTGCCTCTTCTGAACTGAATCCATCCTGTATCTGTTCTAAAGCACTGTTTTTTTGCCCATGAATCCAGGGACCATATTACACACACAGAATGATTTTTAATGATTTTATCTGGCCAAACTTCACTCCAGATTTTCGCATTCCGAATTTTAAGATAACAATGAAAGATTGTTATTAGTCAGTCTACAGAGATGGTGTTGGGACTTTGTTCATTGTATTGTTTTAAAGCCTGAAGGCTGTGTGGGATTCTGTTATTGAAAATGCATTATATTAAAGTGACGGTTGAAAGTAGGCAGATATAAAGAGTGTGCTGTTGGTTTTTTAAATTAATATATTTAATGTCAGGCTATACTATAAAGTTACCTGACCTAGTATTCCAGTACCTTGTGAATTACCATTCTAGAGAAGTTTGCCCAAATTCAACCTAGATTCCCTGGATTTTATTCCCTTTAGGAACAAAATAGCATTGGATCAAGCTACATGCAATCTCCCTAAAACACAGTATAAGGCTGAATCACTCTTGTCTCCAGAAAAGGAAGAACTGAAGGAAAGGTTATGGAAACTCTAGGATATGCACATTTAGGGCATGGATGATGCTAAGCACATGCCCAGTACCAGTAAGTAAATAGTTTCTGAAGGGAATATTTTAACAAGTTACTGTCCTTCTTTCACCATCCAGATGTCCTTAGTTTCCATCTGGATTGAGAGATATGTTCTGCCAAGAGAAGAGAGGCATCTGTTAATCACTAGACTTTTATATAAATATATAATTTGCAGCGTATGTTTTTTCGCAACAGGCAGGGTTTGGACAACATGGCAAGCTGTGGTTCCTCGGAAAAATGGAAGTGACAATTTCCAGAGTCACAGTTATAAGTTGAAGGAAGCTTGCGAAAAAGCTCGGCCTGTTCTTTTTAATGCTAATGTCAGTTATATGGTTACTTTGATTCCTTAAACTGTGACCAAATGTATGTGGTGTTTTGCTGTTCAGTGTTGCCGATTTCTCACACCAGATCCAGGAGATCTCCCATGAAAAATAGTTTCCAACTTGAGTCATTAAAAAGTCTAGATAATGATTTCTCTTCTCACTCCTACTCACTTGCACACAACAGAATGGATAATGTCTTCTTGGGCTGGTTACTTCAATTTGACAGGAGTACTTTTCTAACCCTATCCCTATGGTCTTAATAACTCATGCATAAATAGATACTTCAAAAAAAAAGTCTGTTTATACTGAAAAGTAAGTTTCTGTAAGAAAGATATTGACATTTTCAATGGAAAGTGTTTTGCTAAGAATTTATGACAGGATCATGGTCCAAATTAACAAGTATGTACAGTTCCAACAGGGGAAATGGCTACCAAAGAAGCTATAGTAGAGGTAGGTATATTGAAGTTTATCGAGTTTATCCTGCTAAGTTGCTTTGAGAGCTTTCTGCATAAAGCAACTAACAAATGCCAGAGTTGCCACCTCCTCCTAGCAAATAGAAGGTGCTACTGGTCTCTTCCCACATGTGTTCCTGAGGTAGATCTTCACTCGCCACGCCATTTTGTGGTTCACCTCAGCTGCCAAAATGTTTTGGGCCAACCCTGTCCATAGCTTAGTTGTTTGGTGAAGAATTACAGTGATACCTTGGGTTAAGAACTTAATTTGTTCTGGAGGTCCGTTCTTAACCTGAAACTGTTCTTCACCTGAGGTACCACTTTAGCTAACGGGCCTCCCACTGCCGCCATGCCACTGGCACTCAATTTCTGTTCTTATCCTGAGGTAAAGTTATTAATCCGAGGTACTATTGCTGAGTTAGCGGAGTCTGTAACCTAAAGCATCTATAACCCGAGGTACCACTGTACTTTCTTTTGTCTGAAGAAAGTGTATCTGAAGAAAAGGTATCTGAAGAAGTGTGCATGCAAACGAAAGCTTATACCCAGAAAAAACTTAGTTGGTCTCTAAGGTGCTACTGGACAATTTTTTAAATTTTATTTATGTATTTATTTCTTTTGTCTGTCCTGAATTGGTTTGCAATCTGGTTTATTGGATGACCTGAGATCTGGTATTGTGACTGACAAGAAAGAAAATCCTCACAACATGCATAATGGTATAACCTATTATAACCCCCTGCTTTAGTCATCTTTTCAGCTAAAATAAAAACCTTCAAAGGTTTTATTTATAGCTTTTCCCCACAGAGGAGTTGTTCCAGCCCCCTGATCATTTCGTTTCCCCCTTTCCTGCAACTGTCCCCAGCTTTACAATATCCTTTTTGAGAATGAACAATCAGAACGGTCCACATTATTCAAAAAGTGAGCACGCCATTGATTTGGAAGCATATATGTAATAAAATATAGAGTCTACCACAGAAAGTAATAAGAACCCTTTTGTAAAAATACAATGTAAAAATGACCAAGCAGTCCACTGAAGGGCATGTTCAATATGTGTTACTATTTAAAACCCATCCAACAATATGTTTTTCTGCATCGCAGGAAACGGCATCAATTTAACTGTACTTTGTTCTTTTATTGTATCGCCCACCCACTTTCTATTAAATTACGTAGCTCTGCAACGAATTTGAGAGTAATAAGCAACAGGAGCAGAATGGTTAAATATTAATTTAAGCCTACCAAGAATTATACTTGGAAAGTTAAGTTGTTGTCATTTTGGCAAGAACAATAATTAATCCATGCTCCCTGAAAGATTCAGTGGGTTCATCATCATTTTAATTGTCTCTTGATTCAGCTTCAGTCAGGCTTTCTTGCATCCAGTACAAAACAAATGACTACACTGCAAGATGGGGGGGGGGGAGAACAGAAGGCAACCATGTTTTGTCCTTTCTTCTGACTCAAAGTCACAGCTTGGCCCAAGATCCAAGAGAATCTCCTGAAACTGAATCCAGACAAGACTATTGTATCGCTCAGTACAGTGGAGACCCCACACTCTGTGTGTCTTTACCATCCTGCTGTCTTCACTGGGACAAGAAAGTGTGACGCGGTGCTGATGGCTTTCACTGTTTTTATTGATGTGCTTTTATCTTAATATTATTCGTTTTCATCCTGTTTGCTGCCTTGGGCATGTGAAAAGAGAACGAGGGGGGTCTCAATTTAATAGACAAGAGTCCTCATCCAGGGTAGGGCCCTTTCTATGGAATACCATTGCCATTTAAATTTATTTATTGAGTTAATCTATACAATGGCTTGAGTCACTTAACAAAGTCACTCCCACTTACAAAGAATCATTTACAGAGCACACAAAGGAGTATTTCCCCTCATGCATCATTTTAGATACAGTATTGAACCGAAATGACAGAGTTCTCTGGATCCGGAATTACAGTGGTACCTCGGGTTACAGTGGTGCCTCGCAAGACGCAATTAATCCGTTCCGCGAGTCTCTTCGTCTTGCGGTTTTTTCGTCTTGCGAAGCACGGCTATTAGCGGCTTAGCGGCTTAGCGGCTATTAACGGCTTAGCGGCTATTAACGGCTTAGCGGCTTTAAGAAAAAGGAAACAAACTCGCAAGAACTCACAAGACGTTTCGTCTTGCAAAGCAAGCCCATAGGGAAATTCGTCTTGCGGAACGACTCAAAAAACGGAAAACCCTTTCGTCTAGCGAGTTTTTCGTCTTGCGAGGCATTCGTCTTGTGGGGCACCACTGTACATATGCTTCAGGTTACATATGCTTCAGGTTACAGACTCTACTAACCCAGAAATAATGCTTCAGGTTAAGAACTTTGCTTCAGGATGAGAACAGAAATCGTGCTCTGGCGATGCAGCGGCAGCAGGAGGCCCCATTAGCTAAAGTGGTGCTTCAGGTTAAGAACAGTTTCAGGTTAAGAACAGACCTCCGGAACGAATTAAGTACTTAACCAGAGGTACCACTGTATATGTATTTTAGCAGCAGAGTTGTGAAGCGTCTGCTAGTAAGCAGACTGAAGATCAAGAGTATAAAATTCTTCACCATGACAACAAAACTTGGCCTGTAGGAAACATGTAGGGTTGGCTCTAGAGCAGTGTTTCCCAACCTTTTTTGGGCAAAGGCACACTTGTTTCATGAAAAAAATCTCGAGGCACACCACCATTACAGCCCCGTGACGTCAGCGCGCAGCGTCACGCCGGGAGGGACATGAATTGCTAGCAAATTACATAATCACCTCCTTGAGGGCTGGCTCATCTTCTCCAAAGGCAGAACCCCATTAATTAACAGCACAGACTCACACCATAGCCAAGACGAGGGGGAGGCTAGTGACGGCGCCCCAATCAAAAATTTGACTTTAAAAAAAAAAAATCTTTCAATTTTTTAATTTTTCCCGCGGCACACCAGGCAACATCTCGCGGCACACTAGTGTGCCGCGGAACAGTGGTTGGGAAACACTGATCTAGTGACGGCGCCCCAATCGAAAATTTGACTTAAAAAAAAAACTTTCAATTTTTTAATTTTTCCCGCGGCACACCAGGCAACATCTCGCGGCACACTAGTGTGCCGCGGAACAGTGGTTGGGAAACACTGCTCTAGAGAAGCACTGCATGCCTTCCTCTGACCCTGAAAATCTGCTGATGGGTCAGTGGAACTCCTGGAATGGTATGGAATGGGGCCCAGAGGAATCACCCCTCTGCTTGCACAAGGCACTTTTGGATCCAACCCACAGGGAAGATTCATTCCAGTAAAATTGCCTTTAGAAGCATAGTCCATACTGGGAAAAGACATCTTTTGCATTATTTGAAGTATTAAAAAGTTGAAAATTCAAAACAGGAGGTTGAATATTTAGGATGCAACCCTTATCCTTGCACCCCAGCCACTTTCTGTTGGGGCCACTTCTGCATCCACAGTTCTGCTCCACATGCCAGTCAGAGGGGCAGCAGATCCCAGATTGGTTTAGTTATTCCCCACCCACACCCCAAATGCCTCATTTTGGGGGTTTCCATTGGCTATTCTGCACACCTATTCAGCAGGTGGAGGAGGAAATTCCGCACAGGAAGAGTGATGCTGTCCCTTCATCCAGTCCACCCATCTCCCATTGCAAATGTGGTGGGGGTAGATTGCATAAGTAGATGCTTTAGTTCTGACTGTGCAATATTCCCCATTTAATATTTGGCCTACTCAACCTGTAAACAACCTGGAATTATGCAGAAGACTTTACATCAGACCATGCAAATGAAATAACTGTGTTTGGGTATAGTAGACTTTATGTTGGCATTTGGGTAGCAGCAAAGGCTTTTTGCCAAAATTTCATCTTGGAGCCGTTATTTCTAGCAGCTGTTGTTTCGTGAGCTTCGCTTCACTACATTTTGTGCAATTAATGAACACTTGCTGAACACCATTTTCAAGCGGCTCAGCTTGTGGCAAATCAAAAGAAGCGTGCAAAGTATTTCAGTCAGCTTTCAAGTAACTTATTAAATAATTTTCTATAGCAGGAAAGCTGCCACTCGGTCTCTTGCAAACAACCAAGCGTAGTGTTATTTGCTAGGCCAAATGGTGAGATTTTATTGGACTAGCTACTCCATTATGCAAAGTAAAATGAAGTTTAATCTCCTGCCACACGAGTTTCTAATATCACACCCTTCCAAGGGACATCATGCCCCTCCATGCACCCTTTATGTTGTGCATCCATTGTAACTTGCGCTCGTGACGGTATCCAGATGATTCTATGCAATCACGCTTCCAATACTGCTTGGGACTGCAGAAAGTTGAGATTGTACATACCACTTCATTTCCAACCAGGGAATGTTCCTTGGCTTGCTGCCAAAACCTTGCA